TTTCTGACAAAAAACATTTTGTAATCGGACAATACCGATAAAAAAAAATCTTCAGAATTGTGGCTTTTTTTTCCCACGCAATCAAAATTCACAATTTGTTTTTCACCATATCTTATCAAAATTAAATTTTCAATTAGTGGTGTACAAGGATAACGTACATCAGAAATATAAACTCTTAGGATGTTGCTGTGCTATTTCAAAAAGTGGCCTGCATCTTTGATGGTATACATTTTGTTTGTGTATGAAAGCAAGATTAGTCGCGTATAGAAAATGAAACATAGAAGTATTATGATTTACGGTATTCCTTGATTTTTATGGGGTGAAAAGACATTTTTGCCAAGGTTGACTGTGGTAGATATTTTCCTTCATTATAGAAAATAAATAACAACCAAACAAATTTAAAATAAGCAACAAAAACAAAAATCTGTTGTTTTTTTTTGTTGGAATTTAGGGTTATATTTCGGTAAGATGACTAGGCTTTTTTAAGACATGACTTTTTCGATCGGCTCTCATTTAATTAGCCTGCAGATGCTCCGGCGGTACCATCGCGGTCCCGTCACAGTGACAACCAGGGGAGGCAACTCATGCAAATGAAAATGGTCAAAAGTGAAGAATTCAATGTATCGTCCGGGTTCCATGTCTGTGTTGAATGCATGGAATTGTTAAGACATTTATGTGATTTGATAGATTCCCCTAAAACCTAGATTGACCCCTGCCTAACACAAACCGTCCCCAAATGACCACTCCAAACAAGAGCTAGCTGCGTCCATGTAGGGCTATATGCTAACGAATATTTGTCGACAAAAAGTATTACCATATATACTGCAGACTTAAGTATTATCATATCCTATACTAATGAACAGAAACGAACCTTTCCTGACAGCTATCCTGAAACCACTTTGGTCTTTTCAACATCATCCGTCCAAAGATAAACATTAGTTTGCAGAAAAAGTCCATATGGTTCAGATTATGCACACTACTTATAAACTCTAGTCAGAGAAAAATGTCTTAAGGTATCTGTAGCCGAAGGAATCACTCAAATCTTGATTTACCTTGCTATCTCCATGTATCCCGGGGATAAACCACTCATAACTTGCTCAACGAGAGGCTTGGGCCCCATGGGGCCGCTAACAACTCTGTATGTGACTTTTAACATACGTTTGATCGGACATATCTACAAGTAATCCTGTAGGCTGTGGTTTGTGATCGATACCCGTACGGCCACTTGGTCAGTTTTTCAAAAGGACTTGAATAGTTTCGGTGCCTGCTCCATTGAAATACGTCTCGGGTCGACAAACCATTGTTTTATTATGTTGACTTTTTAATATTCTAACTTCCGTCAGTCTTAGTTTAATATATGTTTAGTTTTTGTGTTAATGAGCCACCACAGGAAATTCGCAATCCATCTATTTTTGTCAGTTTAAATAAATTATCACAATGCGAACGGATCGGATAAAAGTTGTCACAACGTCCTCTGCGCTGAGTTCCTGAATAATAGCAATGGCCTAAGCAAACGTAAACAATCAGAAATTAAAAACAAACTGCAAAATAACACGTCAAGTCAAGTTAAGATGAAAAGGCATCATACTGGAGCACCATCAACCATCGAACCCCCCCCCCCCCATAAAATAAGAAAAACAAACAAACAAACGGAAAAAAACCCACATCGAATCAAATATGACGTCCCGTGTCCTTGACCTTTGACATCCCGTATCCTTGACATTTTACATCCCGTGTCCATGACCTTTCATATCCTGATGAAAAAAAATTGTTCTTACGGCGTACAATGGTTTATTTTTTCTTACTGCGTCTTTAAATGTACTGGAAGATTATGTTTCGATATCTTATCACTAGAAATAGAAATTTGTAGGCACCTGTTTTTTTTTCATATACAAAAATTATCGGATATATGTCATTCATACTAATATATATATAAATATAAAATTAGTTATAACTAAAAATATAATTTGATATATCCTTTCTGTTGGTACGGAGTTTTGTAAAATAATTTACCTGCTAAATCCCATTTCATCGTTATCTTCTGTGCTCCTTTTACGCAAAACCCCAACAAGCTAGCCATACACACAAACATTGCACCCTGACCCTTAAATATTTATAAGAAAAAAATAGATGTTTTTGATTGATTATCTATATGTGACAGGAGATGATACTATTTTTATCATTTTCACTGTAATGCCCGCAAATTTTCATTTAATCTAATTCTGTCTAAAGAGGCAAACCCAAAGTGTTACGAAAAACCCAAAGTGTTACGAAAAACCCAAAATGTTATGCGTAGCTATTTAAAAATTGAATAAATTCCCATATCGCGAGCAGTAGTCGTGAGTAAACGAAGAACTGATGCTATGTATATGATTTTAATTAGTTAACAGGCGTATCTCGTTATAGTGCCATCATTTGTACATCAACGAAATTTAGACGTTGTAAGGAGGGGTGACAATACATTTTTAAGAAAAATTAATAAATGTGACATTGAAAACATTGGCGATATACAACGAGGCAGTGCAACAGATGACTTTATATATTGCGTATTTAGAGTGAGATATATATAGTATCAGTTTCTGAATTTTCAGCTTGAAGCAAACTGAATTGTTGGTTTGCCCCAAGTGTCGAGACATTTTTCGAATCGTACTCTATTTTCTTTTTACTTACCAATCTGTATTTCAAGCAAAATCTCCAGCAGACAGACAGATATCCATCAACATCTTTTCACCCGTACGTGTTTTTGACACTAATATTTACTGTGTACCTGTGATATTTAGACCCTCGTAATGTAAATCTTAATTTGATCACTTAAACCTGTATGTTTACGCTACTGGTAACGCTAGCAGACATTAGTGTCAAATTATATATTTATGATGTGATTTTTACACTTGGTACAAAGGCAATGTGATAGATTCAACATAAATGTGCTCTCAGCTAGAACAAACACTTCTATAGACAAACTGACAGACTCGAAGAGACAATCGGGTCTCCCTATATTATCAATGATAATTTCCAATTAATCACGTTAATTATGTGATTGAGATGCTTACGGGGTTATTACCTGTTTGTTGGTAGAGTACATGTGTAAACACCCTGTCGTTGGCCCTCCGTTCACGAATTAGTGAGTTCTCCCATTGCGCGTGACTTGTATCAGGGAGTTGTGATAATTATCACCTGAAACAATAGGTTCTATATTATCTACACTTGTATCTTCCTCTTGAGACAATGGGTACAGGTGAAACATGCCCCGCCCTGGTGAGAATGACCTAAAGGTGCTGTTCGGTTCGAGGAGTAGACCGTCGATATGTCAAACTAATTATTAAAATGTGATTTTAGGAAGTAATTGAAATTAAGGAGAGATACTCTAGGGCTGTCTCGTAATGCATATATAAGGTGGTACATAGGCTAGGAACGTCAGTATACCTTCACCTTTCTCAGAGTCAACATAGCGAACATATACTTATAAACCTATCACTAAGCTGCAACATAGGAAACTAAGAAGGGATTGTTTCACAGAGGTGAGCGTTTAACATTTAACCGCAATATAGGATATTTCTTACCTGGCATTAAGTATTGCTTCAGGTTCTGTTCGTCAAAGTTGGGTTCAGACTCTTTTCGTTCATTTTTGAGGCGAATTTGAAAGAAAAAAATAAGTTTCACATGGGGATGCTGGTATTACTACAATCGAAATGAGTCTCATAATGTTTATATGTGCATGCTATTGGTACTAACTTAAATATTTAAAATAAGCTTAAGTGTTAATTAATTATACCAATTGAAAAGTATTGTTAATTTTTCAAAACCTTTTTTTCTGACTAGTATAACGATTTATATCATTAATTTGTTTCATATTGAATTATCATTTTTTTAGCGTATTCAAGTTGGATAATCTCATGTTTCATGTCTGCTACTGATAGATGCTATAAGATAGCACACTGCCAGTTAATTATTAATATATAAGGATTGACTCGGACTCGGTATCAAATGGTTTCATAGGCTAAATCAAACGTTCAAATTAATTTTCTCTTAAACAGCGCAACAATATGAGCATTTCTGTGATTTTGTTTCAAACGTGAACATTTTGATTCCGGAATGTGAATGCTTTGTCCTTAGTATCAATAATAACTAATTATTCAATCTTACCTGAGAGTTTGGCTTTAAGATCTAGGGCACTAAAAATACCTAGCTGTACAACATAATTATACATAGAATATTTTAATTTTACATAATTTAAATATGTAACAATTTTCCTTATTTGAATATTTAATTCGTGGTTTTGTCTAATTTAAATATGTATTATTTTTTTCTAATTTAAATATTAAGTTGTCTAATTTAGATATTTTCTTATATGTGTGATTAAAGTATTTTTTAATTAATTTTTTTTTTCTGACCAGTTTAATGGTTAGGCCATAAATCATTATATCTGTTACTATTAAAACCAGTTAATTTTATAATCCCATATCAGTTCCCTAGCAGGATAACCATTACATGGACATCACTGTAAAATGCCTTGTAAAACTATTTCGTCGAAGTCCATTAATATGTCTTTATGACCTAGTTATGCGACTTCGGCCTCTGACCTGTCATATCCACGACTGGTCAGTCATAAATCTCGGATCTAAGTATCACTGTTGACCAGTATAACACTGGTAGCTACAACTACTTGGACAACTTCGGACACGTTGACCCTCTGGGGTCAAATCAATGTCCACCCTATTACACATGTCACCAAAACAGGTTGTGGTCAGTATTGTGGACCATGCGGTCACTACAGGACACAATATTGGGTAAAGCTGGGTATAAAGTACCTCAACTGACCACTTGGTCCATTTAAGTCCGAACACACCCGACCGAGCGCCAGATCTAGGAATAACTAACCTAAAAAGTGTGTAATATTACAGTGATAGTGACTAATGCATCACATACCGTCTTAAACCTCTCCAACAATTTACTTGTAATATGATCGTTTCTTCAAAACTGGCTCTTTTTCATTACAGAAAGATGAACTTCTCAGCATTGAGCAAGATGGATTATTCCGAGACCAGTTTTGAGGTAAGTTGGTTTGACACGATAGAATAGAAATAGTGGAAGAAACAAAGATAATATAAAGCATTTTTAATATCTACAATTCAATCATTTATCATCCATTATTGACAACTATATTAAAAATAATGATTATTTAATTCAATAAGAATTGTTCACATATATATGGTATAAATAGGACAATATATACAGTATATGTTTCTGTAGTTTTATCGTCAATATCATTGCCTCCACAGTTCAGCCCCCTTGGTCTGTTGAAGTTTGAAGATGAAGAGCCGATGGACTTGGCTGACGTTATGACACCCCCAGGCAAGGTCGTGCATCCCCCTCCCGTACAGGATGAGGACTCGGGACTCGGCATGGAGTTTGTAAGTAGAAAAAAATCAAGGATTGTTGGACGAGACTTTTTTTGTGTTAAGGCTATATGCTACCTTAAACCATTTACAAGTAATTTATCATTTTCTTTGTCTTATATTCACGTAAGTGATATGTAAGTGTTTAACGATACACTGAGCCTCAAAAGTTACGCATAATCAAAACTTTAGAAACTCAACATATTAATGACAAGAAATACAAACCAGGAAATACCTTTGTTATGAATATTGAACTGTTATCGATACAATTGGTTCTTTTTAGGACGCATGCACTGACAGTGACAACAAGCCAGACACCCACGTGATGCAGACTCCAAAGTTCAAGGACGTAAGTACTGAAAGATACAACCTATCGGTCGGGGGTTGCCTAAGTATTATATGAAAATATTCAAATACGTTCAAGACAGAAAATAATATTATAAAACCTCATTTATAAACAAATATATTTACTTTCGTTTTTAACCAGATTTTTCAGTCATTAATTGGGTAAAATAACATAAAATCACATTTTTTTTTAATTTACTGAAGAAAAAAAATGAAAATAAAAATATCAAGAAATGATAATAGTTTCTGTACACCAACCATCCAATATTCTCCATTGTGATGATATGAATACTGTGACGATCATTAACATCACTGTTTTTCTATTTCTCCACTAGATGTCGCAGTCGTACTGTCGCCGACGAACGCTGTTCCAGAAGTCCAAGTGTCTCATTGACGACGGTTCCATCTCCAAGCGACCGAGATTAGATGACTCTTGTAAACAGAACAAATCCAGGAAACCACTGACGAAATCCTTGTCGTTTGGGGTAAGTTTACATTGGTAGTAATTAAACCTAGATGCGAATTAATAACTAGTAAATAAGATGTATCAATATTATGGACGACGCGTGTCTTTAACTCTCCTCTCTTAGTTTTTATTTGAGTTTTGTTTTCTACGATTTCCATTCAAAATCCAATCAATGTTTTGCTCGATGGTTGAGTCATTGGGAAAATTGTTACAATACAAACATATACATGTCTTTTACAATTTGAAAATAACCTAACGAGAGTTATATCTGTTTCTACTAAAACGTTTATTTTACGTCAGGAAGTCAATACATTTTCATGTGATTTCTGCCCGGGAAAATTATTTCGTGAACTATGACGTCACAATACAGTTTCTTTGAATAAAGACGCCTCGAAAACAGTGTATACTCAAGAAAGTCCATTTAAATTGATAAAGTTTCCATTTTGCGAACTTTGCATTGATGCCTGCACCTCATTTAAAATTTAGATTTCTTATCTGTTACATTGTTGTGACGTCTTCTTCCAGGCTGAACCTTTCACACGTTGTGAAGTCATTACTGCTGTGGAGCGACTTGTGGAGGAGGAGGACCTGATCGGTAACGGAACCCAAGCCTTCTGTCTACCCATAATCCCTGGCAAGCACTCTGACCTGAAGAGCATCACATCCGAAACGGTAAGTGCACCCAACAGAGTGTAAGAACATTGTAACTGAAGTTTTAGTTATCAAAATAATTAGCTTCCATTTTTTTTTTCAATCCCTGACAAAGTAACTGGAACAAGTTCAGCAACATTTACAGAGGGTTCTGTTGTCATGAATCTTCGATTCATATAATAAAATGCGCGTCCCTAGGACATTCTCTTCCATCATTCCCTCATGAAATGTCGAATACGCCATTTTCAACTGAACTGTCACTTGAATTTAATAGCATCGACACTATTGGACTAAGTTGTTGGACAGTCGAAACATTCATAAACTACCACAATCTCACCAGTTGGGACCCAGCAAATAATATTTATCTGGTTTATTCATTATATTAAAATTGTTTTCAGATGTCTGATGTTTTGGCGGGAAAGTTCGACGACTCCGTCAGCAGTTTCCGCGTGATTGACTGCCGTTACCCCTATGAGTATGAAGGAGGACACATTAAGGTAAGGAGGTTGGCGTTTTACTTCTGTAATACTAGTGTATCATGTAGACAACACTGTTTGTTTGACATCGACCCTAGTGTATTACACAAATATTGCTCTACGATGCATCTCACAAAGTTCATTTTTCCGATGTCAGAAGAAAAATGATGTTTCCCCATTAACTGTAACTTCTAGTGCGTACCCTTGCCTAGTATACATAATTTTTATAATTAGTTCATAATAAGCACTGTTAAAGTGTTAACACTATGACTATATGTAACCATTTAAAAAAAAGTTTTGACTAGTCATACTGATTTATAGAAAACACGAGCGGAAACTCAATATTTATTTTATTTATCCTAAATAGAAAAATCTTTTTCTATAAATTTCCTGTTCACTGTACCATAACAAGTGTCCCCTGACATTCCTTAACCGCTTTGTTTGACGATTGTAGAATGCCGAGAACAGATACACACGAGACCAAGTTACGGAGCTGCTGAAGGATAGGGAGGTTGCCCGAGGTGACCGTCGGGATATTCTCATCTTCCACTGCGAATTTTCGTCCGAGAGAGGTCCAAAAATGTAAGTAATGACGTTGTTACATTATCATCTCAAACCGGAAGCGATTCATATAATCAATGTACACAAGTTTGTTTTAGTTTCGAAATAATTACAATGTCGTTTCAAATTTTGAGTTCTTTAATGATCTTAAACTTAACTAGTGCCAAAAACTTTCTTTGTGTACCGGCAGAAATAAAACATGTTTAAATTAATATAATAATAAACAGATCGAAATGTTTTGCAACGGTGTCAGTCGATCACATTCAAGATAACACTTACTATTCAAAATAGCTCTCATTGTTTTATGTCAGTATATTTGAAACAATAGAATTGTATTTTAATGTTCTCCTTTGTCTACAGGTGCCGATTCCTCAGGAACAAAGACAGGGAAATGAACACTGACAACTACCCACTCCTCAACTACCCGGAAGTGTACCTTCTGCATGATGGGTACAAGGCTTTCTACGAAACTAAGCAGGTAAATATGTCGTCTTATCCTTTGATGTCATCTGCGACGGTCAATCTGATTGTACGAATCCGGACTTTTTAAATTTACATTTTGACATGATAGAATAGGTTTTAATATGTATTGACATTTATATGATAAGATTTGAAATGTGGCACTGATTTCAAAGTTGATTTTTGTTTTATTTATGCGCCTGACATATGGAAACAAAAATAGACAAGAAAATAGAAATTACTCAAAAAAGAATAAACCGATTAGTGTTATCAAATAATATTAAAATAACAGACATACGTAAATTCAGAACGGATATTACTACAGTTTGAAACCCATGTTTGTATTATCTAGAAAATTCTATAAAGTGTGACTGGAAACTATTATTAACAACTTATCAATTGTTTTACCTTTTGATTTGCAGGAAATGTGCGAGCCCATGGCCTACAAACCTATGCTTGACAGAAACCACGCCGATGACCTGCGTCACTTCCGGTCCAAGTCCAAGTCGTGGTGTGCAGGACAGAAGAAAAGGTCAAGCCGCCTCATGTTTTAGATCAATGAATAAACAAAATACAGACAATTTTGCATGGACTTTTCGGACTGGAACTCCCGAGAAGAGCATCCATCCGATGCTTACTGGATTTTCAGTGAATTTTCAAAAGAGAGGGAATCGTTAAAACGGGTAGTGAATTATTAAAAACTGGACTAAAACTTTCTGAAATGGATCATGATATTTTCCCCTGAACTATTATCAACAATTCATTTGATTTGAAAATGTTGATGCTATAAGTGCTATCTATGTGCGTGTGTCGTGTACATAATGTGTGACTATTTATTTTACTATTTATGAAATTGTTAAATAGCTGTATATGTGTGTGTATGCGGCGTAGTTGTACCTATGTAAAAGATTAATTGTAAATATTCATTTTTTCCGGAGCATAGCAATCCAACCCGAACTCAATTGACACGAAGAAATACAGATTATTTTATATATCAAATTATTATATTCTCCCACCATTTCTATATAAAATTACCAAAATATATTCAAATTTGTGTTTTATTGTTTTTTTATTTTATTTTCAAAATTTCCTTTGAACGATTGAAAAGCCTGAAATAATTAAAGCAGTGACTGAAAATTGTTATTTCTGCCAGGAAATTATGGTTGTTTTCCATTGTTTGGTACCGTGGAATGAAATGCAGTGTTGTCTTTATATAGCTTCAGTTTAAATTGGATAGTCTTTAATTTCTCTACACCATTCATCTATTCTCATTCCTTCAAACACGTTATCTCTTCTCTCCATCAAAAGTGTACTGGAACTTGTATACAGAATCAAATGTAAACTCGTGTACAATGTATATATATATATATATGTACATATCTGTATATAGTTAATATATAAAAGTGTAGTTGTATATGTATTTATTTAATATATTATATATAGTATTACGTATGTAAACAAAGTGTATACAAAGGTCAATGTATGTAAAGTATGTAGAAACGAATGCCGAGAAAGCAGAATGGGAGAGAGAGAAAGAGGAAAAAACATTGATAGGGAGAGAAAAAGAGGGAAACAGAGGGAATGAAAACAAACAGAATGAGAAGAGGGAGAGAAACGGACAGAATGAGGAAAGATGGATGGAAGAAAACAGGGTGAGAGGAGATGAAGAGAAGAAAGACAGTAAGAATGAGAGAAAAGGAATGAGGGAGAAAAGAGAGATAAAAGATATATGAAAAGATTTATGAGAATCTTTTTTTATTATTTCTAAGCTTTTTCTTCCTAATCTGTCGATCTTAACTTATATTGTTATAATAAATTGTTGAATTATCGCATACATTGTTTTTTTTGTTGTGCTTGATTACTGAGGATGTTGTCTTGTAATGTCACTTCAATTGGTAAATATACTCAGCAGACCTTTCTAGCACGCTTGGACATACGAAAAGTCATTCCACCAAATACGTCGGAAAACTCGCGATATACACGTACATATTGTAAAGAGAAACATCCAAAATGCAATAAACAAGACTTATTCGAAAAAAATAGCACAGATATCTCCGAAAGTATTGACTCTACTTCAGTATGTAGAATGAATTGTGCTCTACATTAGATTTATTTTTCGATTGATTTTACAACAAGGGTCCCATAAGATATTATTCAGTGACAAAAAAACAATAAAACCACCTTATATAATATCTAGCATACAGATTTAAGACTAAAAAGAATTTGAAACTAGCACCTCTGATTCTAAACAAGGAAAATGAAGAAATTTTAGCACACTGATTCCTTTGGGCCCCACCCTACAGCCCTTGGGGGTAGGGCTGGCTCAAATTTTTCAAAGTATCAAACTGTCAACTCAGGGTTATAATTCCAATCAAGTTATTAAAATGTAATATTCAAAGTATCATTTGCCATTATAAACCATAATAAACACGAGACCCGCCAATCAATTTGGTAAGACCAATCCTATACTCTTTATCAAAGTTGTTTCCCATGATTTGTAAAAGCATAGAATCAAAATAAAATATAAAATATATTGCAACTGACCGAATTTTGATTTCAAGTTGCTTTACCGTCTTAATTTATATATAAATTATATCAACTATCTCCCCCGTCTCGTGTTCCAGATAAAAAAAAAATCTTCAAAATATATATATATTAAATCATTTATCATTGTTTGGCACTGCCATTATACAACCCTATAAAATTCAGGTTACATTCATCTAGCTGTATTGACATTTCTGATGCAGATTCCTAAATAATTATTAAAGAAATTTGTATTCATATGAGAACGAACGCTTAAAGGTCAGCGTCACTATGACGCTTCTCCTCTCCGTCTTGTATAACATGACATCATCGTTAGACTCTGTTTGTGTTTGAAGATACAGTCTTAAATATATGTTAAAAGTACAGTTTTTAGAGTCTAAATATACGTATTGTAAGATTAATAAAAACCGATGCGTACTTACGGTATCAACGCATTTCGGTTAAAATTATATGTGATATGAAGCTGTAGCTTGTATGGTCAAGGTCACACTGAGGTCTAAGTTCGTAAACATAACTTTGGACTCTCTGAAAATTGCTCAATGAAATCTTTGGATACATTATATACCGGATATGGTAAGGCGTTGTGTTGCATACAACTATTGGGTCCAAACACCCAAGGTTAAGGTCACATTGAACATAGAAAGGCAGTGTGTCGCATACCATTTTTCATGTGGTCTATACACCTAAGGTCAAGGCAACATTGAGGTCAAAGATCAAATTCATTTTCCTAGTCATAAGTTCTGACTCGCTGAATAAAGTTCGATGAAATTTTACGGATCTATGAAAAATGTAAGGCGTTGTGTCGCGTGCCATTTTGTGGTCCGTATGTCTAATGTCAAGGTCTCGGTAAATTCAGAGGTCAAATTGTTTGTTTTAGTCTGTAACTTGTGTATCGCCAAAGGTCAAAAGTAAATAAATCTAGAATCCTTGGAGTACTTTCGCTTTAAACAGTTAAGGCATTTCAGGGATAGGAATGGTGCCAGGTATGATCAGTTGAAGATGTGTAACAAATACCAGCCAGTATGCAATATTTCATGCCTTCAAACGCACACTTTGTTCCAGTCTCGGTGACATGTTCGGGGAGCATAATCCGTTAATTTTACTTATTTTATGTTTTCTTACCCGCCTCCACCCTAAATTCAATTAAGATGGGATGCTATCTTAATAATGAGACTATGTGATTATTTATATACATGGACGATTCCATAAACTGACTCGCAGAAATGTTTATAGTGAAGCGTCACTGCACTTTGGTCTGGAGGAAGCCTTTAGCTGAGATATCAGCTCACTACTGAAAACGTGAAATACTTTTTCATTAAAACAAAATTTTAGAGCTTTCTACATTACCGGTGAATTCATTATATTGTATAGATGGGTGGGTTTTTTTAAATTCATTTGAAATAGAAATTTTGCAATCAGCCGGAGAAAAAATCCTATGTCATTTGGAAACCACATAGACCTAGTTTTGGGCAAATGTTAAAAAGACGAACATATTTACAGCTATATACCACAAGTTTCTAGCACAGGAGCCAAACTAGTATGAATTATTCTGACGTTTTATCGACTTTTTTCATATCGGTCTGTCGTTGATTAACGTCAGAACTCCGGCCCTCTATAATATGCGGGAAATATGCGACCCGCGCCCGGAGCGCACTTCAAACTGATATTTTAGAAACAAATCGTCACTTTCACACACATGTCGCATATGGATCGAACGATCTATTCTTGATGCACGTGATGAACATACATAACATGCCTCAAACAACCAATACAATCACGAAAAACATATTTTTTCAAACTTACTTATTTTTATAGCCCCGCCTTCTAATGCCACGTGACTAAAATCTCGCCGGCCTACGTCATAACGTTGGGAAATACCTTCGTTAACGCGAGATCTCGTCAAGTCATGTGACATTGCTCATGGCCTAATTTCCATTAAAAACATGGGTTGGTATAGAAAACGTTGGAAAATACTTTTCGTAATGATCTTTGAAACATGTTATTGATACCACCTAGTGCATAAAGAATAGATCTTTCGATCCATGTGCGACATGTGTGTGAAAGTGACGATTTGTTCCTAAAATATCAGTTTGAAGTGCGCTCCGGGCGCGGGTCGCATATTTCCCGCATATTATAGAGGGCCGGAGTTCTGACGTTAATCGACGACTGACCGATATGAAAAAGTCGATAAAACGTCAGAATAATTCGGACTAGAGCCAAACCTGAACTCTTTCAGGTCTGCCCTTGCTAGTTTCAACCTTCCATAAAGTGTTTTTTGTTTTTATCTTATGATAGTTGTAATAGTACAAATTTACAAAAATAATTGTTTTTAACATTTTTAATGCCACCTCCCAGGATCAAGTGCACTCAAACCTTTTAGTCTGATCCTTGTAAAGGAAGAAGAAGAAGAAGAAGAAGAAGAAGAAGAAGAAGAAGAAGAAGAATGAAGCTTATTGTCTTTAATTCTGACAAAGCCTGTTGCTACATTGATTGTTAAGTATCTGAGAAAACAAAACAAAAAGTTGAAACTTGTGAAGGGTCAAAATATGTTGGTGACACCTGTGTAACGTAAAAGGACGTCGTTTTTATGGTATATGACGTCGTTTTTATGGTATATGACGTCGCTTTTTAGATGTTTTATCATATATTTTTTGCATTGTTTTGTATGACCTTCTGGTATGCTACCGTGCGGAAGAAGAAGATTAATCAACATGAGCTCATACACTTTTTTATAATTGTTTTGAAATAAATTAATTTTAAAAGTTGCCCGGGATTAGAAGGAGGAGATATATGCGGGGTTGTGGGATGGCTTATATTCTTGAAATTATTTCCATCGTTCAGAACGAGTCGGTTGTCCTATTTTTAGATTTTTGCTGTACATAAGTCAACAGAGAATAAGTATCACCGTCAGATATATGCGGTTTTGACTATACTTCTACAATTCTATTTATTAGTATTTACGTTATCCACTGATGTTTGACAATCTAACTGTTACGCAACGTTATTCCCGTTACGTCGCCTAAGTGGGACATTTTTCGGAAACTGAAAAGTGTAGTGCGACCTTTTGTTTGTTATTGAACTGACAGAAAAAAATATTATAAAACCTCATTTATCAACAAATATATTTACTTTCCATTTTAACCAGATTTTTCAGTCATTAATTGGGTAAAATAACATAAAATCAACATTTTTTTTAAATTTACTGAAGAAGAAGAAATAAAAATAAAAATATCAATAAATGATAATAGTTTCTGTACACCAACCATCCAATATTCTCCATTGTCATGATATGAATACTGTTACGATCATTAACATTACTGTTTTTCTATTTTTCCACTAGATGTCACAGTCGCACTGTCGCCGACGAACGCTGTTCCAGAAGTCCAAGTTTCTCATTGACGACGGTTCCATCTCCAAGCGACCGAGATTAGATGACTCTTGTAAACAGAACCAATCCAGGAAACCACTGACGAAATCTTTATCGTTTGGGGTAAGTTTACATTGGTAGTAATTAAACCTAGATGCGAATTAATAGCTAGTAAATAAGATGTATCAATATTATGGACGACGCGTGTCTTTAACTCTCCTCACTCTATTTTGAGTTTTGTTTTCCACGATTTCCATTCATTTTTATTTTTTTATAAAGAAGCCTCGAAACAGTGTATACTAAAGAAACTCCATTTAAATTGATAAAGTTTCCATTTTGCGAACTTTGCATTGATGGCTGCACCTCATTTAAAATTTAGATTTCTTATCATCTGTTACATTGTTGTGACGTCTTCTTCCAGGCTGAACCTTTCACACGTTGTGAAGTCATTACTGCTGTGGAGCGACTTGTGGAGGAGGAGGACCTGATCGGTAACGGAACCCAAGCCTTCTGTCTACCCATAATCCCTGGCAAGCACTCTGACCTGAAGAGCATCACATCCGAAACGGTAAGTGCACCCAACAGAGTGCAAGAACATTGTAACTGAAGTTTTAGTTATCAAAATAATTAGCTTCCATTTTTTTTTCTATCCCTGACAAAGTAACTGGAACAAGTTCAGTAACATTTACAGAGGGTTCTGTTGTCATGAATCTTCGATTCATATAATAAAATGGNATTGGGAAAATTGTTACAATACAAACATATACATGTCTTTTACAATTTGAAAATAACCTAACGAGAGTTATATCTGTTTCTACTAAAACGTTTATTTTACGTCAGGAAGTCAATACATTTTCATGTGATTTCTGCCCGGGAAAATTATTTCGTGAACTATGACGTCACAATACAGTTTCTTTGAATAAAGACGCCTCGAAAACAGTGTATACTCAAGAAAGTCCATTTAAATTGATAAAGTTTCCATTTTGCGAACTTTGCATTGATGCCTGCACCTCATTTAAAATTTAGATTTCTTATCTGTTACATTGTTGTGACGTCTTCTTCCAGGCTGAACCTTTCACACGTTGTGAAGTCATTACTGCTGTGGAGCGACTTGTGGAGGAGGAGGACCTGATCGGAAACGGAACCCAAGCCTTCTGTCTACCCATAATCCCTGGCAAGCACTCTGACCTGAAGAGCATCACATCCGAAACGGTAAGTGCACCCAACAGAGTGTAAGAACATTGTAACTGAAGTTTTAGTTATCAAAATAATTAGCTTCCATTTTTTTTTTCAATCCCTGACAAAGTAACTGGAACAAGTTCAGCAACATTTACAGAGGGTTCTGTTGTCATGAATCTTCGATTCATATAATAAAATGCGCGTCCCTAGGACATTCTCTTCCATCATTCCCTCATGAAATGTCGAATACGCCATTTTCAACTGAACTGTCACTTGAATTTAATAGCATCGACACTATTGGACTAAGTTGTTGGACAGTCGAAACATTCATAAACTACCACAATCTCACCAGTTGGGACCCAGCAAATAATATTTATCTGGTTTATTCATTATATTAAAATTGTTTTCAGATGTCTGATGTTTTGGCGGGAAAGTTCGACGACTCCGTCAGCAGTTTCCGCGTGATTGACTGCCGTTACCCCTATGAGTATGAAGGAGGACACATTAAGGTAAGGAGGTTGGCGTTTTACTTCTGTAATACTAGTGTATCATGTAGACAACACTGTTTGTTTGACATCGACCCTATTGTATTACACAAGTATTGCTCTACGATGCATCTCACAAAGTTCATGTTTCCGATGTCAGAAGAAAAATGATGTTTCCCCATTAACTGTAACTTCTAGTGCGTACCCTTGCCTAGTATACATAATTTTTATATTTAGTTCATAATAAGCACTGTTAAAGTGTAAACACTATGACTATATGTAACCATTTAAAAAAAAGTTTTGGCTAGTCATACTGATTGATAGAAAACACGAGCGGAAGCTCAATATTTATTTTATTTATCCTAAATAGAAAAATCTATTTTTATAAATTTCCTGTTCACTGTACCATGACCAGTGTCCCCTGACATTCCTTAACCGCTTTGTTTGACGATTGTAGAATGCCGAGAACAGATACACACGAGACCAAGTTACGGAGCTGCTGAAGGATAGGGAGGTTGCCCGAGGTGACCGTCGGGATATTCTCATCTTCCACTGCGAATTTTCGTCCGAGAGAGGTCCAAAAATGTAAGTAATGACGTTGTTACATTATCATCTCAAACCGGAAGCGATTCATATAATCAATGTACACAAGTTTGTTTTAGTTTCGAAATAATTACAATGTCGTTTCAAATTTTGAGTTCTTTAATGATCTTAAACTTAACTAGTGCCAAAAACTTTCTTTGTGTACCGGCAGAAATAAAACATGTTTAAATTAATATAATAATAAACAGATCGAAATGTTTTGAAACGGTGTCAGTCGATCACATTCAAGATAACACTTACTATTCAAAATAGCTCTCATTGTTTTATGTCAGTATATTTGAAACAATAGAATTGTATTTTAATGTTCTCCTTTGTCTACAGGTGCCGATTCCTCAGGAACAAAGACAGGGAAATGAACACTGACAACTACCCACTCCTCAACTACCCGGAAGTGTACCTTCTGCATGATGGGTACAAGGCTTTCTACGAAACTAAGCAGGTAAATATGTCGTCTTATCCTTTGATGTCATCTGCGACGGTCAATCTGATTGTACGAATCCGGACTTTTTAAATTTACATTTTGACATGATAGAATAGGTTTTAATATGTATTGACATTTATATGATAAGATTTGAAATGTGGCACTGATTTCAAAGTTGAATTTTGTTTTATTTATGCGCCTGACATATGGAAACAAAAATAGACTAGAAAATAGAAATTACTCAAAAAAGAATAAAGCGATTAGTGTTATCAAATAATATTAAAATAACAGACATACGTAAATTCAGAACGGATATTACTACAGTTTGAAACCCATGTTTGTATTATCTAGAAAATTCTATAAAGTGTGACTGGAAACTATTATTAACAACTTATCAATTGTTTTACCTTTTGATTTGCAGGAAATGTGCAAGCCCATGGCCTACAAACCTATGCTTGACAGAAACCACGCCGATGACCTGCGTCACTTCCGCTCCAAGTCCAAGTCGTGGTGCGCAGGACAGAAGAAAAGGTCAAGCCGCCTCATGTTTTAGATCAATGAATGAATAAAATACAGACAATTTTGCATTGACTTTTCGGACTGGAACTCCCGAGAAGAGCATTCATCCGATGCTTACTGGATTTTCAGTGAATTTTCAAAAGAGAGGGAATCGTTAAAACGGGTAGTGAATTATTTAAAACTGGACTAAAACTTTCTGAAATGGATCATGATATTTTCCCCTGAACTATTATCAACAATTCATTTAATTTGAAAATGTTGATGTTATAAGTGCTATCTATGTGTGTGTGTCGTGTACATAATGTGTGACTATTTATTTTACTATTTATGAAATTGTTAAATAGCTGTATATGTGTGTGTATGCGGCGTAGTTGTACCTATGTAAAAGATTAATTGTAAATATTCATTTTTTCCGGAGCATAGCAATCCAACCCGAACTCAATTGACACGAAGAAATACAGATTATTTTATATATCAAATGATTATATTCTCCCACCATTTCTATATAAAATTACCAAAATATATTCAAATTTGTGTTTTATTGTTTTTTATTTTATTTTCAAAATTTCCTTCGAACGATTGAAAAGCCTGAAATAATTAAAGCAGTGACTGAAAATTGTTATTTCTGCCAGGAAATTATGGTTGTTTCCATTGTTGGGTACTGTGGAATGAAATGCGGTGTTGTCTTTATATAGCTACAGTTTAAATTGGATAGTCTTTAATTTCTCTACACCATTCATCTATTCTCATTCCTTCAAACACGTTATCTCTTCTCTCCATCAAAAGTGTACTGGAACTTGTATACACAATCAAATGTAAACTCGTGTACAATGTATATATATATATATGTGTACATATATGTATATAGTTAATATATAAAAGTGTAGTTGTATATGTATTTATTTAATATATTATATATAGTATTACGTATGTAAACAAAGTGTATACAAAGGTCAATGTATGTAAAGTATGTAGAAACGAATGCCGAGAAAGCAGAATGGGAGAGAGAGAAAGAGGAAAAAACAGTGATAGGGAGAGAAAAAGAGGGAAACAGAGGGAATGAAAACAAACAGAATGAGAAGAGGGAGAGAAACGGACAGAATGAGGAAAGATGGATGGAAGAAAACAGGGTGAGAGGAGATGAAGAGAAGAAAGACAGTAAGAATGAGAGAAAAGGAATGAGGGAGAAAAGAGAGATAAAAGATATATGAAAAGATTTATGAGAATCTTTTTTTATTATTTCTAAGCTTTTTCTTCCTAATCTGTCGATCTTAACTTATATTGTTATAATAAATTGTTGAATTATCGCATACATTGTTTTTTTTGTTGTGCTTGATTACTGAGGATGTTGTCTTGTAATGTCACTTCAATTGGTAAATATACTCAGCAGACCTTTCTAGCACGCTTGGACATACGAAAAGTCATTCCACCAAATACGTCGGAAAACTCGCGATATACACGTACATATTGTAAAGAGAAACATCCAAAATGCAATAAACAAGACTTATTCGAAAAAAATAGCACAGATATCTCCGAAAGTATTGACTCTACTTCAGTATGTAGAATGAATTGTGCTCTACATTAGATTTATTTTTCGATTGATTTTACAACAAGGGTCCCATAAGATATTATTCAGTGACAAAAAAACAATAAAACCACCTTATATAATATCTAGCATACAGAATTAAGACTAAAAAGAATTTGAAACTAGTACCTCTGATTCTAAACAAGGAAAATGAAGAAATTTTAGCACACTGATTCCTTTGGGCCCCACCCTACAGCCCTTGGGGGTAGGGCTGGCTCAAATTTTTCAAAGTATCAAACTGTCAACTCAGGGTTATAATTCCAATCAAGTTATTAAAATGTAATATTCAAAGTATCATTTGCCATTATAAACCATAATAAACACGAGGCCCGCCAATCAATTTGGTAAAACCAATCCTATACACTTTATCAAAGTTGTTTTCCATGATTTGTAAAAGCATAGAATCAAAATAAAATATAAAATATATTGCAACTGACCGAATTTTGATTTCAAGTTGCTTTACCGTCTTAATTTATATATAGGAGTTCAAACAACTCTGAAATAGAACTCTTCCGCCATTATAACTGATTCAGTGATACTAAACCTAACTAGACATTTATGAAGCATTGTAAGTGATGATATCCAAAAGGCTAAAAAGTCAGTGTTATTTTTTCGTTGTCTTTTTTTGTTGGGAAAATCTTCGATGTTATGTTGGACTGATTTGATCGCATCTTTTGATTTTATATACGAATAATTGAAAATGTAAATTTGTCGACTATTTTAGGGGGGGGGGGATCAACTATCTCCCCCGTCTCGTGTTCCAGATAAAAAAAATCTTCAAATTATATATATATTAAATCATTTATCATTGTTTGGCACTGCCATTATACAACCCTATAAAATTCAGGTTACATTCATCTAGCTGTATTGAAATTTCTGATGCAGATTCCTAAATAATCATTGAAGTAATTTGTATTCATATGATAACGAACGCTAAAAAGGTCAGCGTCACTATGACGCTTCTCCTCTCCGCCTTGTATAACATGACATCATCGTTATACTCTGTTTGCGTTTGAAGATACAGTCATTGATATAAGTTAAAAGTACAGTTTTTAGAGTCTAAATATACGTATTGTAAGATTGATAAAAACCCATGCGTACTTACGGTATCAACGCATTTCGGTTAAACTTATCGCGTGCCATTTTGTGGTCCGTATGTCCAAGGTCAAGGTCTCGGTAAATGTGCCATGTCGGACTCAACTAGTGGACAAGACAGCAATACTATACGTAAATAATTGTTTTCAAAGGTCATGTATGATGCAAGTGTAGTATTCCTACCCATATGTTGTTGTTACATATAACGGTATTGATACCTCGTGCCTGTCATGACTTTTGCATGCATCTTTTTCTTTCGCCGCGATATTTACATTTGGCCTTGTTGATGATGCGCGTGCGGTAAAGTTACATCACTGATCTGGGTCAATTGAGAGTTTTAGAATGTCAGGTGACGATTTAGGATTTCTTTAATATAATTATAATTTTTACTCTTAGGGAGTGAATTTCAGCAAAATTTGTATCGGTATATTTCTTAAGAAGGTATTTTAAACATGTGTATGCCATTTTAGCAAATATGACATTTTCCCCCCGACCAGCCCCTTTAAATCATTTATCATTGTTTGGCACTGCCATTATACAACCCTACAAAATTAAGGTTACATTCATCAAGCTATATTGACATTTCTGATGCAGATTCCTAAATAATTATTAAAGAAATTTGTATTCATATGAGAACGAACGCTTAAAGGTCAGCGTCACTAGGACGCTTCTCCTCTCCGCCTTGTATAACATGACATCATCGTTAGACTCTGTTTGCGTTTGAAGATACAGTCTTAAATATATGTTAAAAGTACAGTTTTAGAGTCTAAATATACGTATTGTAAGATTAATAAAAACCCATGCGTACTTACGGTATCAACGCATTTCGGTTAAAATTATATGTGATATGAAGCTGTAGCTTGTATGGTCAAGGTTACACTGAGGTCTAAGTTCAAAATCATAACTTTGGACTCTCTGAAAATTGCTCAATGTAATCTTTGGATACATTATATACCGGATATGGTAAGGCGTTGTGTTGCGTACAACTATTGGATCCAAACAGCCAAGGTTAAGGTTACATTGAACATAGAAAGGCAGTGTGTCGCATACCATTTTTCATGTGGTCTATACACCTAAGGTCAAGGCAACATTGAGGTCAAAGATCAAATTCATTTTCCTAGTCATAGTTCTGACTCGCTGAATAAAGTTCGATGAAATTTACGGATCTATGGAGAATGGTAAGGCGTTTTGTCGCGTGCCATTTTGTGGTCCGTGTGTCCAAGGTCAAGGTCTCGGTAAATGTGCCATGTCGGACTCAACTAGTGGACAAGACAGCAATACTATACGTAAATAATTGTTTTCAAAGGTCATGTATGATGCAAGTGTAGTATTCCTACCTATAAGTTGTTGTTACATATAACGGTATCGATACCTCGTACCTGTCATGACTTTTGCACGCATCTTTTTCTTTCGCCGAGATTAAAGTTCGATGAAAGAGGTATGGCGGAAAACTGCCCGTATTTCCCTAAGTCGGCAGTTATGAAAACGGGGGAAAAAATTAAGGAGTAAAACATTTCGGGTATCAAAAATGTTTCAAAGGTATACAAAACCAATTGAATATGAATTTTTAAACTGCTGAGAAATTAGATATTGCTAATATGATACTGCAAATATAGCCATATACACTATATCTATGAAAGTGATGGGGTTTCCCGGACTTTAAAAAATACTTTCAACACTTTCCCATCCGAGGACCAACATTTGAATAAACTTTCTGTGACTGTGATGTAATTTGCAAAAACAAATCGTATTACGGAAAAGTGGTCCTCCTTTGGGAAAGTGCTCAAAATAATGAAAAACAGGGGTGATCAAGTTTCTCTAAACTGCGACCGGTGTTTCTCGGGTTAAATAAGTTTGTAATTGCCAATATCTATATGTTCTATGTAGCCGAATGTGTAACGCAGTTTACTTGCGACTAGAAAATAAAATGTGCAGGTTCGAATCCTCCTTCAGTTATTTTTTTTTTAAATATTTAGGCATGTGATCATTTTCTTTAATAAGGCAATAGTGGGTTTTTTAAATCGATGGAAAATTTTGTTTTCATTTTAATAACATACCTATTGATTTATCAGTTTTGTTAGTAAAAATTTCTTTACTATTTAGTGCGACATACCTCTATCGAAGCATGTCAACAAATCCCTGTACACGTGTACAGTACAGCTATGCTTTGTAGGTAAGACACTATTTTTGATGAAATCTATGAATTGTTTTACCCTCCAACTGGCAATAGTAATTATATCAAGTGCTTAAACACCAACAAATAATGCCGAAATACCAAATATGTGGTCTGTTTACAATAATCTATTCTTAGACATGGGATTCCGATATTGCTACCTGTATAAAAATACCCGAGGACGCGTCATAACAGTGCACGGTTGGATGCGCGCACTAGCGTAACATAGCTTTGGGGAAATAGGCATAGCAACCCGCCATATCTCTTTACGGATCTATGAAGAATGATAAGGCGTTGTGTCGCGTGCCATTTTGTGGTCCGTATGTCCAAGGTCAAGGTCTCGGTAGATTCAGAGGTCAAATAGTTTGTTCTAGTCTTAACTTGTGTATCGCCAAAGGTCAAATGTAAATAAATCTAGAATCACTGGAGTACTTTCGCTTTAAACAGTTAAGGCATTTCAGAGATAGGAATGGTGCCAGGTATGATCAGTTCAAGATGTGTAACAAATACCAGCCAGTATGCAATATTTCATGCCTACAAAACGCACACTTTATTCCAGTCTCGGTGACATTTTCGGGG